CCAGAGAACTGAAACACCGATTCTAAACAGGATTCCAATTATCATAGCTTGCTTAGTTTTCAGTATAAGCTGAGAAGCATAAAGGCAAAGTTAACTGTTGGGAATTTAGATGGGGCTTGGGCAGTGAACTATAGGACTTTGACATATAATAGGAAAGAGCTATCCTCCCTTCATGTGACAGCAGCTGGAGCACATGGTAACTTAATCATTACTTAAAGGAATTGAAATGCTCCATCATTTTGGAATGAGATGCAATATGGACAATTACACAGTGGCACACCAGGCTTGAGCAGCTACATATTTAATAGTAGCTGATTTTCCTTTGCTAGGAGAGAAAGATTCAACCTCACGCAGTTTTGTCTGGCATTTCTGTTAGCCAGTGTCTGTGAAGAAAAAAAGAAATGCTTTGAAACGTTCCTGTAACCTCCGTAGCTGGATAGATGTCTCTCCCTTCAGACAGAAAATTCCCAAGCTTTAAGTTCATTTATTGCAGAATTAGGAGGGGTATGTATGTATTAAGTTGGTAAATGGCTTATTTATCATTTGCAATTTATGCTTCAGTTAAAGAAAAGGATGAAGAAATCATAAAGAGCTTATTGTATGCCAGCAGTTGTATTTGATAGAAAATACATGACATGGAAAGAATTCTGTAGCTAATGTCTGAAGTGTAGCAGGTAGCACCACCTAGCCACTTGATCCATCACTATGTGGTCCTTACCACGAAGCTGACTTTGTTGTTAATGTGTGCTGACAGTTCATAGCATTACCTTTTTCCAGATTAGGTTCTTCAGCAGATAAGGTGTTGTTAGAGCACAAACAAGACTGTAGACTGTCCCTCTGATACTAAGAATTAATTTCCTTTTCTGTAAAGCCATACAAAGTTGAAACAACAAAATGTGCATCTGACAAGGAAGGAAATGCCATGTTAGCTGCTAGTATCTCCTTGCTTGGATGATATTGGGGAAAGACACAAGCAAGCAATAATATGTAGGTACCAGGGTGGGTCATTCCTTCGAAAAATGCCACCTCCTGCACGTATTTCCTTATGTTCTACTTAACCCACTTCTACTTAGTATACTTTATGCATATAGTTACTTTTATTCTTTGCTCTTGTACCTTAATTTAGGATTCCTATTTTGGTAGGTTAAGAGTCTTCCTCTGGTAATGCCCTTCATGCGTAATGTATTTTGCATTTGTGTTGATTGGTTAACTGTACTGCTTCTGTGCTCTTATTACTTGCACTGTGCAGAGGTCATCTTTCTTAGATATGCAATTTCATAGTTAGTGCTAACAATTAGTTAACAGATATCTTACAGATACCCTTTAGTTATAATTGTGACCAGAATAGGAGATCACACATCAGGTAATTTATCTTGCAGTTTTACAGTCACATGTAACACACGTGCAAAGCTGTGCTAAGCCTTCCTTCACACAGGCCTCTTAGACCAGATGTATGGTTTTTGTGTCTAGCTGACAGCAGATCCAGTTTGTAAGTGTTTATATCTGCCCCAGTTAGAGCCAGGATTTGACACGTATCTTACCTACAGCTAATATCACTGGAAGAAAATGTATATGTAGAATTCCTGGAGTTCCTGAATGGCTGTGCTCTTCGTCATCTCCCATGTATAGCTGAACTGTACCTTTTTGCTCTTTCATTCCTTGATCGGGCTGTTACCAGAATACAGCTCTTGCTCCACTGAGCACAGGCGAAGGCTGACCTGTGCTCCAAATAGCTGTTCCGCTTTGTTGTCACATTAATGTTCCATAGGGCATCTGCTCGCTTCCTGTGAAGATCTTATGGCAAAGGCTTTCCTAATAACACCTAATGAATAACTGAGATCAGAGAAGTGTCTCACTAGGGGGTCACACCAGCAATGCTATACAACGGCACCCTGCTTATATTCCCAAAGAATTCAGGTGCTGTTGTAATGGAAGGAAGAATGTTTTCAGCACGACTGGTTAGGAAAAGAAAAATCTGTTCTGCAAATGTTGAGATTTTCTTTTGATGTTAGCAATTGTCTCCAAGTGACTGTCATATTTTTATCATGTTATACGTATACGGAACACTACAAAATTACTGAGCTTTTCTGACTTTAAGGACACTTTATGTTTTGTAGATTATCTTCTAGCAAAAAGTCTTAAGTGTCCCTCAGTCTTAAAGACAAGAGAATTATGGAAAGCCCCAGTCATAGGAGGGTAAGCACACCAATAACTTTTTAGTAGTCAGCTGCCCCTAAGGGAGATTCTGATGTTAGGAAGGAAATATTTATGGAGGCCAGAAGTTTTATCACAAGGCAATATGTGCCATCTTTATTATGTTTAACATTTCCAGTTAAAAATGATCAACAGTTAAGATGAACAATTAAATTAATATTTTGAATTACTTTATTGGAGTTGAAGTAAATATGCCAGTCAAAGCAATAGCAGAGATTTTAAACTGTATAGTGTGTTCCACTGTGAGCCTTAGTCTTGTTCATGTTCTTCCTAATGTTCTTCCTAGTAGCTTTGCTACTAGGACTGTGTGAGGGAAATGCACACAATATTAGACACTTTATAATGAAAAGAAAAGTCCCATGAGTTTGAATATTTAAAAAAATAAAAAAATCTGGTGAAATGAACCCCTGTGGTACTTTAAAAGGTCACTCTATCCTATAAGGCTTAAAAACTGTTTTGTCTTGAACTATGTATAGCAGGAGGAAGAATTAGGAGCTCACTAGCACATTGCTTTGCAGATTATTCTGTTTGAAAGCCTGCAGTATGTGAACTCAAGCACAGATGTTGATTATAGATCAGTGTAGAAAATTATATTGCAGCCATTCCTACAACAGAGATCACTGGGAATGGTATATCACACTAAACTGTGAAGTTAGAAAACTTGCATATGATATGTTGTAATATATTCTCTCACTTTGTTTCCTTATCTTTGTGCACACTATGTGCTCTAAAAATTGGCAAAACTCCTATGAGAGACTGTAAATTGAACCATAAATTGTTGGAAATGCTTAAATGAATGCCTTAGAAGTTCATATGTTAGAAGAACTTTTCCAAATTTACGGTAAATCTTGTAAAGCCGTATGAGTACAACAAAATATTCAAGGCATAAAATATTTAGAGTCATCTCTATAGCTGTCAGTCAGCACCTACATTTGCAGTAAGAATAACTGAAGAGTCTGTCCTGATTGCACATCCCTGAAATAAGAGCATATGTAATCAGTTCTTAGTCCTGGTAGAGAAGTACACTCTTGGCAGGAGCCCTGCCTGGATCTGAGAGCTGGAGGACATGACTGAGCTTTTGCTGACAGTCTGCTGTACATACATTACAGCAACCATACAGATGTTTTTAGGAGAAACTGTAAAGCAACAGGTATTCTGTTACAGCCAGGAAGTTCTGTCTGAGGCAGTTCTGGCTGAATTTAGGCTCAGCTAGCTGGAAGTCACACAAAGCAAAGTATAGAATCATAGAATAGTTGGGGTTGGAAAGGACCTTAAGATCATCTAGTTCCAACCCCCCTGCCATGAGCAGGGACAACACACACTGGACTATGTCACCCAAGGCTCTGTCCAACCTGGCCTTGAACACCACCAGGGTTGGAGCATTCACAACTTCCTTGGGTAACCCATTCCAGTGCCTCGCCACCCTCACTGTGAAGAACTTCTTCCTTATATCTAACCTAAAGTTCCCCTGTTTAAGTTTAAAGCCATTCCCCCTTGTCCTACCACTACAGTCCCTCATGAAGAGTCCCTCCCCAGCATCTTTATAGGCCCCCTTCAGATACTGGAAGGCTGCTATGATGTCTCCATGCAGCCTTCTCTTCTCCAGGCTGAACAGCCCCAACTTTCTCAGCCTATCTTCATACAGGAGGTGCTCCAGTCCTCTTATCATCCTCGTGGCATCCTCTGGACTTGCTCCAACAGCTCCATGTTCTTTTTATGTTGAGGACACCAGAACTGGACACAATACTCCAAGTGAGGCCTCACGAGAGCAGAGTAGAGGCCTCACAAGTAGCAGATGATTGATCTGGGATTCTCAGTTGATGAGATATCTGTGGGAACTCTGATCCTGGAAGAGGAGCTACAGATTCAAGATTACAACGGTGATGGGCTGGATAGCACAGAGTATCTAAAATGGCTCTAGGTGCTTGTGTTGTAGGGTGACTGGATTCCACTCGTAAGTCCTTTAGCTGTTGTGACACTGAAAGACACTGTTCCTTGTGAAGTGTTGTGAAGGAACTTTTCCCTCATACTTTTTCATGAACAAGTCTGAGCTTATAATCAAATGACTAATTTTTTTTTTTAAGCAAAAAACCTAAATTTAGGGTGAAGAATGGGTGGCTGCTGACATGGAAAACTTCAATCCAAAGGGTTGAAGTCTGTCAGGCTACACACAAAACAAAGACAACATGGCATTATGCATGGAAACCTGGTACAATTTGATTATTCAGTTGAGTGTAGAGAAACAAAGAATTTCTCTCCTACTCCACTGAGCTTTTTGTTGAATCTGTACCTTAGCCAGAGACGGCAAGACAGGAACGTCACTATTCTGATTTCAGGGTTGTAAAAACACTGAGAAATCAGAGGGAGAGACTGGGGATCACAGGTGTTCCCTTTCTCTGTGGTCAACAGTGTTTATCAATTCTACATGTACTTTCAGTGTGTATGAATTGCTGTCTTAAGAAGAGATTTACACATCAGCGTGTTAAGCCCAAATGTTTGTGATTCATGCATGTGAGTTGCTGTCTTAAGAAGAGATTTACACATCAGCGTGTTAAGCCCAAATGCTTGTGATTGATGTGAGTCTATTCTGTTAATATCAGCCATCATCTCTTTTCTAAGCTGCCCAGGGTGGAGTGCTTGAGAAAGGTGCTGGTTGGGCAAAATGGGAACCTTGTAAGTGACAGATGCAAAAGGTGACGGTCCACTTGGACAAGCTTCTAGCCAGAAAACAATTGTCTTTTTTTTTCCCTTCCTTTTAAGAAAACCTGACTGCCTGTAATGGCTGGTCAGAGCCTGGTGCAGAAGGTGTAGCCCTCTGTGACATAGTTCGGAGTTGTTGGAATACACTTCTTTTTAAAGTTTAGCTTATTGAATTCTTCTGTGATTTCCATGATTGATTTCCCTTTTGTTTCTGGAAGGAACAGGTGGATAATTATCCCTGAAGTGAAAATTACTACCATAAAGATGAGGAAGCAGAAGTGCTTGAGTTTTTCCTGCAGGGAAGAAAGAAAGAAAGAGAGCACGATGAGCATACCTTTTCTCTTGCACTTTCTTGGCATGGTGTTTGTATTTGGGTCCCAAAGAACTTTGAATTGGACAAGGAGCTCTTTGGTCAAAAAATCATTTTGACCTTGACAAATATTTAAGTCTGAATAAGTATCTTGGGCGTATCAGAGCCCTTCCATTGCAAAAGTGGACTTGGGAGAGCAGACGCCAAGACCACTCTAGACTGACATAGCACTGGCATTTCATGCTGCTCTTCTTCCTGGTCCTGGGGTCAACTCAAGCTTAGTGCCTATTGGGAGTGTCCCAGGGAAAGTGACTCACCACAATGAAGGGAAAGGTTGTTCCGATGACAAAGACGCCCAACCAGTTGAGAATGGCGCCAATCACAAAGGCAGATGGTCTGCATGAGAACTTGAAAATTTCAACCCTAATGGCAACTGTGGCACCAGCTGTAAGACAAAGCACAATAAAAATTATGTATGTTGCTCTTTTTTAGAAAAGAAAATGTTTGTGTCATCTTATAAACTGCTAAACATCAGGTTTGTAAAGTGGTCAAACATTCAAATACATTTCTTGTAGATACTCAAGAATGAAGTAGTTAACACTTAAGAAAGTCTGATATATTCTCATGAAAGAAGCTGTGTAAGAATAGAATTACTATTATTTCTAACAAGAATTCCCAGGATGATACTGCTAGATCACCAATGAATGATCTTCCCAGATTCACTTCCTGGTTATTTCAGTCATGTTGTGGAGTCACAGGACATTAACAGCTTTCAGTTAAGAAAAGAATTCAACCTTCCCATACGGGAAGGCAAATATTTTGAAAATGAATATGCTTTTAATAACATTTTTTAAGAGGAGCAGCTAGTACACTGCACTGTTTATGTGGGACAGCTTTATAGAACACTGGATTTTAAAGAACTCTTGCTTATCTTTTTCTCTTTCTTTTTTCTTACTATTAAAAAACCCCAAACAAACACATCTGCTTTTGCTCTATTTTTGCTGTATTTCTCCAGTGAGTACTTTCTGCTGTGTTCCTTTCCTCTTAGCAAAATCCAGATCTGATGGCATTGAAATTCATGGCCAATGATTGGACCCATAATGTTTAAATGACTACGAGATAAGGTTAAATTAATTTACTTATGCTAAATATTACACAATATTATGCAGGATTTTCCTACCCATATTAATAACTCCCATGACTCTATTCCTTTATTTCTTCTGAATGAGCACTTACCTGGCCCAACTCCAAAGACAACTGCGAACAAGATAATCAGACAAAGGCTGCAGTATGGCATCCAGAAATACCAGTCCTGGGGAAAAAAACCCAAAACATAACAAACTTCTGAGTGAAATCTGTTAATAGGTGAAAAATGCTGCTTGTTTTCCAACACTGTAACCACAAGAGAAAACATACAGTGTGTGGGAACTGGCAGAGAAAAGTGAGTGCTTTTTCCTGTGGATGGAGCAGTGAGGTTTTTATTAGGTGAGTAGAGAAGCAGGTTTGCTAGTGCAGAGCAGCTGTTAAACTTGGAAGCTTTCAATTAAGTCTGAATAGTACTTTTCCAACTTGTCTTCCTTTCTTCTTGACCCCATAGTACTTTTCACAAGCCTTAGAGATATGGGAAGGCCAAATGGTATCTTTCCTCACTTTTGTTAATGATAGGTCCAATAACTGGTACTGAAAAGGAATTTTGCTTGATTTTAGGCTTGAATATGTAAGACCTCAGTGCTTTAGGAAGAAAGATTTCGCTCTCCTATGTTTGAGATCCTTCATGAATGAAACAAAAGTGGAAGTCTGCTGCCACCTTGCTTCAAGGCTAGTCTTACAGTACTAACTATAGAGCACCTCTTGGGTGAATACTGGTAGCGTGGGAGATTTGCTTATGAAGAAGCTACAGCAATGACAGAGTGTTACAGAGGTGAACCACTTTCCAGTCTGTGAACAGATATGTGCGTTCCCAGTATCTTCTGCAGCAAAGTTACATTTCTAATTAACTGATACAAAGAGCTTGGGGTTTTGTTGTTACTCATTAAAAACTCTGTGACTAGAAAAGGACATTTTCCTAGGGCTGTCTTTTGCTCTATGCTGGCCAGTGTTTGGTGCTTGCAGTCTGATGAATTCAGGAATCAGTGCTAGTCTCCCAGTGTTTTATGTGCTCCTTGCTCCACTTGTGAGATCACACTGGAAGGCAGGAGTACAAGAGAGTACTTGCTGAGAGATGGTTTGATCCTATAGACAAGCTTGATCTTTTCCCCTCCCAGAGGGTAAGCTGTTAACACAGAAGTTATTTTGGCACTTCTAAGCCTCACTTTCCTTTCTCAGTAGTATAGTCCTGCCTGTGAGCAGAAGTTAGAAATAGAATAATCTGTGATGAGGAGAGTTTCCTTACCTGTAGTGAGAGAGTCACGGTGATAGCAGCTAGCAGTGAGCCCATGATAAAATAACCTCCTCTTAGAAGCACTTTCCTGCCCAGTCGCTCAATGATGGAGCTCTGAAGGACAGAAACACACTGGTATCAGTACCAGAAGAGCAATATGTGACCCATTCCCATAGTAATGTGACTTACACAGACTGCAGTAGCTACGAGCTCAGAGAGTCCAACAGAGAGGGTCATATAGGAGATCATTCTTTCATCAAAGCCAGCTGCCTGGAGGACTTCAAAAGTATAAAAATAAATCTGGAAGAAAATCCCATAAAACAGTAAGAGAAGAAATTAATTGATTTCTTACCCGTGCCTGTGTGACACTGCCCTGGTCAAGAGCTGCTAACCAAGCAGCATGCAGCTGTGCTTTGGAATGATCTAGAGTTCTGCACTCTTTTTGATAGTATTCACTTTATTGGCAGACAAAACCATTAAAAAATGTAATTAATTCATTCATTTAATAAAGATGAAATGCTGAGCTAGAAGGATCTGCAGCTGCTGCAATGTACTTAGGTTTCAGAGTCCTCCTTTAGGAGCTTTCAGAAACAGCCAGGTGTATCATCTCTTCTGGAGCCCATCCAAAATGGTAACTGTAGGATAGTCTCAAGAGAAGAGTGTGGGTTATGGAGTTGTGAGGAGCCTGATGTCTCCTTTAGGTCAATACGTGTTTTGAGACTTTAAGGGGGAAATACACTCAACTGCATTGATGCCACATAGCTGAACTGTGGCGGTCAGAACAACTATCATGTACAGCTGCCAACGGGAAGCTGGTTCTTTCATTAGCTCCAGGACACTCAAGATCTTGGTGTTTTTCATTGTTGCCTTCTCTTTCATGAAGTCATCAATCTCTGCTTGGTGATGGCCTTCACCCCAAAGCTGCCTTATGGCTGTGGAGGAGAAGGAGAGCGAGATCTGCCATGTTAATTCGTCTCTGTTGTTTGCTGCCTAAGGAATTTGGTGAGTAGGTGATTCAAGAGTCTGGCAGCACAGCATGCATGGGCTGTGGCTGTGCTGGGAAGCGGAGGTGTCCAATAGGGTCTTCCAGATACCTGATTCTCTCCTTCACAGAGGGACCAGTTGTGACAGAGGGGCTAGAGAGGTGCACAATGACTCCCTCCCTTCCCAGAGGTCCAATTTTCTCCCTTTCTCTTTCTCTCAGGGTATGAATAGGGTACACAAGCAAACCACCAGAGCTAAGGGGTGTGCTGTGGAGCCCTTCAGTGCAAACAGCCATTTGCCATTTACTGTTTATCATTTCTCATTGATGATAATTTGTCATCAGACTGACAGCACAGGTGGTGTCAGTTGAATGCCAAAGGTTTTGTAATACAGAACTGTAGAGAGAAATAGTTTCATATTCTATGTGGGGACTGTAACAAAAATACACTTAGTAGGTGTCCACAGAGTTGTCTTGGAAATGAGCAGGGAGAAACTTTGTCCTGTTTTTTTTTTCCAAGCAAGCATCACAAAACAATTGAAAGTCAAGTGAGGAACTGGAGCCCTTGGTTACCTTTTTTGCAGCCTTCCTGATCTCCTTTATGCATGAGAAGATATGCTGGGGACTCAGGGAAGAAGGGCAGAGTGACCAACTGGACCAGTGCTGGAAATCCGCACGAGGCCATCAGCATGGGCCACAGGTACTGGCTGCCTAGTAGCTCCCTGGTGGGAATATAAGTTCATTGCATAGGTTTTGAGGAAAGGAATGGATGGAAAAGCAGAGGAAGAAGCAAAAGGTAGAGGGGGTCCAGAAATTATGTGGGTGTGAAATCAATTGTATTATACCTTTGTCCTGAAATCTGCCCTATAGCTTTTCCCAGAGACCAAAAGAAAGAGGAAGTAGAGTTTGCAAATCCACGTAGCTTCTTAGGGGAAATTTCTCCAACGTATTGATGATGTAGAGGAACACAAAGACCTTGGGGTGAGGAGAGAGTTGTGGGAGAGAAGAAAGAAGACATTCACAGTCACTGGAAACAAAATTGCATGTCAATAATGAAGCATTACAGAATATAGCTGCCTCATGCACTGAAGTGTTTCTCATACCTCAACCCATATATGAGATTTTCTGTACTAGATTTTCTAACCCTTTCTACAAAAGTATTTGGTCCTCTTTGCATAGAGTAGATTTCTGATTGTTAAGAAATAGACTGTTTTCCCTTTAGGGTAAACTATCATCATAGTATCTCTTGCAACACTCAGCATATTTTAAAGGGGACACAGTATGCAAGTGCTAAATAATTAAACACCCTGTAGTAATATTTAATATGCTTGTTGTTAGCCCACATCATCTCAACCTTTTCTGACATAATGCTGTATAATAGCTGTAAGGTAGATCCATAGCAGATTAAAATATACAGTTCTATACTCAACATGGATTTGTACATGATTTAGGGGAGACACAAGTATTCCTTTCCCACTGTCCAGCAATAATTTTGATGATTTCAGGCAGAGTTGGTGTTTCCAGCTATATGTGAAGTACTTAATAACTCAGACATGATGAAAACTAGTCTGGGAACAAGAGGGTTTTCCTAATGTGGTGGTCACAGCTCCGTTTATCTGTTTTGAAAGCAACATGTTCTCTTGGCTTTATCGCATGGCAAAGCAATGCAGATGTCTAATCGTTTTAACAAAAATGAGGTTTTTGCATGAGGCACCATACAGATTCTAGGGTGAGTAGCTCTCAAAATACAACTGTAGTTCTTCAATATGTCAGAGAAACAATGTACAAAATATGATTATTTGGAAAATACACATTAATTCTTACTGAAATAAGTTAAAATAGACACCCCTGTGAATATCCAGACTGAATGGGAAAGTATCTTTTTGTGCGGGAGACAAATACAAGGCATACTGATACCAGCACAGGGTGTTTTTGCTGCTTGTGGAGTTAACTCCTGTCAGGAGTTATTTTGCTTGATTATGCCCAGCTTTTTGTACTAACCCCAAGGAATTACTGATTTGAAGTGGGTTGAATACTCTTGTAGAACATTCCTGAAACATGTTAGAGTCAAAATTGAATGGCTGTGGCCTTGAACAGACTGGTTCTCTGGAGCCTTATGGGAATACCAGATTTAAACCATATACCAATAATTTCAAGTCTGTTAACTAAAATTCAGATAATATTATACATATTTCTCCATCAGTAAAAAACCCCTTTGTTTCATATTGTATCAAAACATTCATGATAGCTCTGAATATTTATACACTTGGCGAAGCTGAATTTCATTTAGTATTAGCTAAATTAGTAGTAATTATGCTCTTCATTGCTGAGTGTTTTAGAAGATCTTCTGCCAAGGGGTCACTGCCTTTAATATTTTATTTTCTTAGTGCAGGGTTATTGTTTACTCTGAATAAAGATGTAAAATGTGGTGAGATCCTGCTGACCTGTGGGAGAAAACACTTACCTGCACTTACTCCACACAGGAAGCGTCCAATCAGGATCATCTCAAAGGACCGGGCTATTTTACTGCAGCCCATGATAGATGCTGCTGTTATCATGAGCACATTGGTGCACAGGAGACATTTCTTTCTGTAAGTGCAAGAAGGAAAAGTGAGTTTTCATAAATCAGAAGGAAAATGACACTTAAGCTCCTGGCATACAGGATGTCTTGGGTGAAATTGGCTTGCTAGTTTTGTGACATGTGTGGTCCGGTACAAAATAAGCCCATCCACACTATTGGCACTAGATACCCTGGACTCAACGTGTGCCTTGGCACATGGCTAGAACTGGGAGTTTGGGAATGCTTCTAGGTTTTGTAGCCAAGAGGAGTCTTAAAGCTTTTCTGCACGTGAAAATCCGTTATGGAACACGTTGATACAGCACTTAGGAGCATCTTAATGCTACTGTGTCTTCTTTCTTCAGCCAGGGGGCTGCCTTTCCTCTGTGCAGAGGCTAACCCAACCCGAGTAACTGTGTCTGGTGTGACAGGCTGGCAGCTCAGTTGATTAGCCCATGCCACAGGACAAGGGCAAGAAGCAAAAAAGACACCACTGCTAAAACTGCTGCATGTCTACAGGCATGTCTAAGCCCAACAGTCTGTCTCATGTTTAAAACCTCAGCTGTCATTTCCTTAAGCAAGATTCAATTGACAATTTTGTCTTCAAATATACATACCTGCCATACTTGACCGTCAGGTATCTAGTTCCTGAAGAACCCAAGAGACCTCCTATACCATAAATGGACACAGTGATAGACCACAGGAACAAGAGGTTATCCTGATGGATGGGGTAGCCATATCGTTCCAGCCAGGTTTCATTAATGAAAGCCTTAACATGCTGAGGTACAAAAAAGAATTTTCATTAACAATACCTGTGACTTCAGTGCATGGATTCTGTTTAGAACATAATTTTGTTGCTTCAGCTAAAGTAACTTTTCATATAGACTCTAAAAGCATAGCTAATAGACAGTGTAACGGAGTATGCTGTGTTAATTTTGCCATGAAAAGGAGTTAATTCTTTGGGTGTTTTTGTCATTGAAGTCTGACAAGCTGAGGCATGGACTTGTATTGAAGATCAGTGTGAACAGCCCTGTATGTAAATTCTGCAAATGTATGATGGGTTTGCTCTCACGTACATGCATAATACCAGGTTACACGGTGACTGTTCAGTGCAGTTCTTAAATACTTTCTCAGTCTGAACTTAGTGTTCTGAAGCCTGAAAATAACACTTTTCCCATAAAGTGATCTCTACAACATAATAATGTCTCCCCTTTAGACCCCAGTATCTCAAAAGGAAATTTTATCTGTGTTCAGTGGAGAGAAGCACACACTTTCCTAGAGCATGGTTCACTTGATCTGTTCTGTTTGTCTGTGAAGATGGATGACTATGACATTTTCAAATAGAATCACTGAAGTAGGTTTATACCTACATGTAAAATACGAATGTGCTGTGGGTTTATAGGAGAGACAGATGCCACCCCAGTCAGTGTGTGTCTTCTGAGGAATAGTTCTATTAACAGCAACTTGCAGATGTCTCTCTTTTTTCCTATCTTCAGTTTGACATGTTCTGCTTTACACAATAGCATAACAATGGGAATGAAGCATGAGAGGAGAATGCTGTGATTAAACCCTTGCTGACTGCCAAAGAGGAGCCTCCTCAAGCAGCAGTGCAGACTCCGTGCTGCTGTTAACCAGTGTGCCATGTGTGTTTTTGCCTACCTGAGACACATAGGTGATTGTAGAAATTTGAAAGCCAATTTGGAATGTCCCACCAATCCCAAGGATGATGAGCATCTGAAAGAACCCCTGGTACTGTATCTGCAGAAGTAAAACAAAATTTTAAGCTTGTAGCTACATCAGGCTGTTCTTGCAATGTGTCTTTCACTCTCCAGCAGCATCTCATTTGCTCAAGGGGCTTGCAGGTAGGAAAGTTCCCTCTGCTTGTCCTGCTGTGAGGCTTACTACTTCCTGTGATTTCCCTACATCCAATTCAAGGAAATTCAGCCTTTAGCTATGGAAACCATTAACATTTCCCTCCCCTCCTCTATCATTAGTCAACAGAGTAGCAAGGTCATTCCACACTCCAGGGCTAATACATGTGAGAGTGGTTTTAGGGAGGAAAGTGGTATTTCCTCTCTGCTATCTGAATAGTGGCCAGGCCACCTGTGCCCGCAGCAGTGACTGGGCCATCTGTACCCAGACCTTTTCCGCCTTACCTGAGACAGTAGCTGCTGTGCCAGATACTTTTTAAGCCCTTGAATAGTGGGCAGTGTTTCCTGTCTCTTCAAGTTTTGTGGCAAAGCTCTCCTCAGTTCTGAACTCTTGCTCCACCTGCGTGTCTCAAACTATACGGTCATGTTAATCTTTTGGAAGCTTTGAGAACAGGCATCCCACTTCAGTTGTCTTTTTCTGGTTGATTACGGATCTGAGAATACACAACTAGCTCTGCTCTTAGGTTTACCCTACAGCAGCCTTTGCAGCAGCACACAGTGAATATGCTGTGGAAGAATGAAAAATGGACTGCCTTTCAGAGGAGCCATATTCCTCTTTCCTGCAGAAGAGGTTAAGTGTGCCCAGCAGGAGCTGAGGGCTATTTCTCAAAGAGACTTTGTCCTACTTGGAAGTACCTCACTGATGTATGAGGCAGCAACCGGTTCAAGACTCAGCCATAGCCAGGATATAAACGTTGCAGACTCCCACAAACATCCCTGTTAAGATGCCCCATCTACTGATATCCTGTCCAGTTTTCTGCCTTTCAAAACCTCTGCCTGCCATCTCCTGAGCTAAATAATTAGTGCTATATCTTACAAAATTCTTTTTTCAGCAGGTAAGTAAAGCAAATTATGTTTGAAGGTAAACAAAGATTTTCCAGTGAATGAAAACATTTAAGAAACATTAACATATTGATGAAAATGTGACAGAGATGGATGGCAGAGCATATGGAGTGCATTAATACCTCAAAACAGTAGGCAGAACCACTTCTGTGATTATTTTAGTGAATAGGAGCCTTGTTGTTTTTACTGAAATACTGGTTTTGTTTTCTTTGAAACACCAGTAGCATACAAAAATGTCCCACATGTAAATACCCCATCAAGCACTTACCAGGTCTGATAGGAAGTTGGTCATCTCTGTCTAGGGGCTGGTTGTCCAGTGTGTGATGTGTCTGTCATCACAAGCTCCTGCATTTGCCTCCTGCCTGCTGGTGTGGCAGTGGGCATTTGGCTTCAGGGACCAGAGTTAAATTTTTACTATTTCCTCTTCACTCACTTACTTTTACTTCAACTGGCCAAAGTTAACACTGATGGATTAAATATTTTGGGAAATAATTGCATCTAGTCCAGTCCGCAGGGAGAAAGTTTCAAAAGGCAGGAAGTTTGCAGCTGGGGGGTAGTGAGGTTTTTGGAAAGGGAAAGGAGAACAATCCAGGCAAAAAATATAAACAGTTTCCCAGGAACAGTAAAATATTTTACTTCTATGGTACAGACCAATGAGTGTATCTGCCACAACCTGCACAAAGCAAAAAGCAGCTGGCACAAGATTTAGGTACGGCTATTTATTATTAAGTAATGTGATATTCTGTTTCAGATTAATTAGTATAGTAAAGATGAAAATGAGGTAAATTTCAAAGCCAAATTCTGCTGTTATGGCTTTCTGTACCAGTTAGACTGTACTGAGGAAGAGTGTTTCTTTTCTGGTGTTTATAGGGATGTTTGTCAGGCAGGTGTGATGAAAAGGTGGTAAGAGATATTGTGCCTTGGCAGGGGCTTTTGGAATAGAGTATCTGGTCCTGAAGGCTCTGCTTGAAGCAGTCAGTAACTAAGACCCACTTACTCATGACAGTAATCGAAGAAGGTAAAAATTCATTAATGAGTTAGGATGGGACAACTGGGATCTTAATCCCTCAGGTTTCAGCTTTCACACAGAACTACTCCAAAATCAATGATGCGGCCACTGAAAAGTCACCTTTGGTTCCCAGTGGTTCTTCCCTTGTGAGGTGAAGCTCATACTGTAGGTCTACATGGCTTCTGCTAGAGATAGTACTTGGAAGAAAGAGATTTGCCCAGAGCTTTCATGTGTGGTTGATGCCCTGAGCTGTTCTTGCTTTCAGAGGCTTCTGCTTGCTCTTACTCATGCCAGAGGACTTTCCTCCACCCCCAAGGTTTGGGAGGAGAGCAGATGGGGCAATGGGGTTGTACCTAAGCCCTCAGTAAATGCTCAAGCTCATACTCAGGGCTTGTATCTTGTTCTTACAAGACAGAACACAATTATTTACAGAGGATTTACTGCAAATACTGTGAGTCTAAGGAAATGAGAAAAAAGATTGTGTTAATAATAAAACCTTGGTGACTTGTGTAATTCCAACTATTGCCTATATAACTGCATAGCAACTGCTGTTTATCCTGGCTTGCAATAGCATTTAGAATGATTTGGCATTTTTGTAAGTATTTTCTCTTGAACACCAGCGATTTTAACAGTTATATTGTACAAAAATTAGTCCATAGCATAATTACTGACCATTTATTGTTTCAATACATTAATGATCCCTTTTTACTACATATTTTTTCTCAGATTATGGGGGTTATGTCAGAAAACACAATGCAATAAAAAAACCTGGATTGGAAGCAATGGACTGCATGTGTGATACCACCTCTAATTTCAGCACTGGTTAGCAAGCAACTGGGGTACACTTCCACCAGTGACTTGTCCTGTTTGCTGATTTTTGAGAAAACACTGCTTTTCAAGAATGGGTTAGAAATAGAAATTGTCCTTTTAAAAGCTTTTCACATGCTTTTAATAGCAAGAAACTGATACTGTTTTAGTTTCTGTCCTGGACATCATCTCATGCAAGTCAGCTGTGGTTCAGAAAAAGAAGAGATACACCTTTCATCATCATTTAGTGCTGGACCTGCAGAAGTGAAAATGGAGGTGTTCGTGCTGGGTGAATTTACTGAGAGAGATGAGGGAATTCACATGAAGCTTTTTCCTTTCTCTTTCACTATTGCTAAAGCTATTTTAGCCCCACTGTGTCCAGGCAGGCCCAAGGAAAGAGACAAAAATATGCGATAAGATGCCTTCTAGCCAGTTTTATTAGCTCATCTGACAACAGCTACCAAAGCCATAATATTTACATGACATAGCCTCATTTAGGCAGGTACAAGCATAACTCTGACACACTAATGGTAATGCCACTGCTTGTATTCAGTTCTGTCAGATGCCAGATGCAGCCTCATAACAGTGAATTTGGCCTGTACTGAAACAAGTAAGGCTGGATGGCACCTGAATTTCCAGCTTCTTAAAGACGTTGGTCACAGCAATGACACTGAAGTAGTAGTACAATGATAAGAAAGCTAAAAGAAAAAGCTTAGTTTAGTTGCTTTAGCTCTCCTTATGAGTAAAAGATAGGGAGGGTGAGTAGTCGAAAGAATCTGAAATGTCACTTGGAGAAGTATGAGAAAGAGAAGCCTTGGCATGGGGTTAAAACAATGTGCAAACATTAATAGCGTAAGCTTAATCATATACTCTGGTTTATCAGTACCTATAAGAGATGCAGCAATAGTAAGCGTCTGGGAGAACAGGCCTCCTGATGTTTGGCACATTGGATTTGTGCAGCCTGGGAAGATGAATGCTTGAGATGGAAAGGTTTGTTAAAGCCATGAAGGAGTGAAGGTACCCAGCAAGACTACCTGTGGAGGACTGACTTCTTGCAGGAGACACTGGAGCTGTATCAGAGGCAGCATGGCTGGACTTCATAAGAGAGGGACAGAGGAATCCAAGTCTTGTGCTTTTAAACCTGACATGGTGCTGGGTGACAGGGATGAACAGTCCCTCTGCAATGTTCCAGCTGTGTTTCTGCAGAGACCAGTTCCTTCAAAAGCACCTGCAAAGACAAAGGGACACTGACCAGCATTACAAGAGAAAATTCTCTCTTCTGTATGTGCACGAAGGTTGGGAATCCTAATAAGAAGATATGAAAAAGAGAAAGAGGAAAGTAGTCAGAGAGAAGGAAGTGACAAGTGAAAGTGGAAGTTACCACAACAGAACACACTATTGATCTGGTACAGTACCAATAGTGAACACTGATCCTGTTTTTCCATATGCCTATTTACTTAGCTAAAGCTCCATGGCTTTAATGTCTGTTCAGCACAGTTCAGAAGTACTACCACTTTCAAGTGCACCATCTTGTGAAATTTGTGCCAGCTGGGGAAGAACAACATGGAAGAACAGAAATATTAGATCTGTGTTCTGTTCGGTCTCATGATGGTCTTATTTTCAAAACAGGAAACTCAGGCATTAGAAATTCCTCTTTACAACATTGTCAGGGAAGCTGCAAGCTGTATGGCAGCACTGCTACAGAGGGGGTGGGGAAAGAGGGCATGGTGGCAACAAAAAGCATAAGATTTCATCTTGTATGCAGGCAGGACCTCATTGGTTGTTTTGGAGTCACTTATATGGGGGGGGCACAGGAGCTGTTGTGGGCGGGTTAACATACACAAGCCAGTCTGTCCCAGTGTTGTGTTACTGCAGAATAGATGTCCATAATTCAGAACTTCTTTGATAACATGATGCATTTATACAGCACTTTGCCAGCTCAGTGAAGCTATCTCTTTTTCTGTTAGGTAGGTAGATAGTTAGTGAACACCAGTTTTCCAAATAAAAAATGGTAGACGGACGGGCAAAAACATCCAAAGCCAAATCAGCAGCCAGTTGACGGCCGGGAGGAAATCTCATGACTTTGCTGCACCTTCTGCTTAAGTAACCATCTGACTCTTACTCTGAGGTTAATGTTTACTTCATATGATGTCTATTGATTTATGGTTTTTTGCAGCAATTGGTCAGTGCTTAGAATGGGTGGATTAAATATTTCAATAACTCAATGGGAGAGGTCTCTCTGAATGGAAACATTGGCTAGTGTGAATGCTTCATATATTGATACAGGGAGTGAAACTAGATTGAATATAAAATGAACTCAGGTTCTGGTTGCTGGGCGCACATTGGCATTTTAATATCAGAGCTTCTTCTGTGGCTATTTCTTTAGAAGTAGCAAGCCCATAATTTGACATTTTTAAATAGAAAAATCCCTAAAACCCTATCCTGTTTCAGTGCTCCAGCGCAAGGTTAATCAATATGAATGGTTGAACTGCAGAAAGATAGAACTTAAAGTCTTACTAAATAGGAAGCATGGTATAGCATTTTTAACTGTGATAGGAAATGGAAAAACAATTAATTGTCCTATAAAAAGGAAGAAGAGTTTGGGGAGGGAAGTGACTAAATGGTGTAGCGGTGTCGTCGTTTAAGCTCAGCTGGTAACTCAGAACTACGCAGCAGCTCGCTCACTCCCCTGCTTCTTCCAACCCCCGCTCCCAGAGGGATGGGGAGGAGAATTGAAACAATGTAACTCCCACAGGTTAAGATAACAGCAGCCCAGTAACTAAGGTATAATACAAAACCACTACTGCTACCACCAATAATGATAATGATAAGGGAAATAACAAGGGGAGAGAATACAACTGCTCACCACCTGCCAACCAATACCCAGCCTGACCCGAGCAGCGATCCGGGCCTTCCAGGTAACTCCCCACAGTTTCTATACTGGGCATAATGTGCTGTGGTATGGAATACCCCTTTGGCTAGTTTGGGTTAGGTTTGGGTCCTGTCTCTGCTTCCTCCTGCCTTCCCCTCCTCCCTGGCAGAGCATGAGACTGAGAAAGTCCTTGGTTGGAGTAAACATTACTTAGCAGCAACTAAAAACATCAGTGTTATCAGCACTGTTCCTAGACTAAAGTCAAAAACACAGCACTGCACCAGCTACTAAAAAGGAGAAAAATGACTTTTTTTTTAACCTAGGACAAGTGGTCAGCAGGGTTAACAGCTCTTGAAAAGCAGCAGTACATGGATGCTGTGGAGCATACCAGTGGTAAAAGCTTAGTATTGTAAGCTGATGTGACACTGGTGAAGTGCAATGTGTCCTTGGCCATTACATAGCCAGCACACATTGCCTGTCACAGCTTCTGCTTTATTTATTTATTTTAGCAGTTAATTATTTATAAAATGGGCTAAATTTCCAAAGTGTCTACCCTCTGTACTCTCTCTGTACTCTCTCAGTACTCTCTGAAAGTGTCTCACTC